CCTTCAAACATATTTAAAACTGGGGGGGAAGGAGTGTTATATATGCAAATGTTAGAGGAGTGTTGAGTATGCAAATAACTGGGGGGAAGGAGTGTTATATATGCAAATGTTCCCTGTTACCAGCTCTCTGATTGGCTGGTCATTTGACAGTTGCTTTGGGCTCGAGTATAAATACCCTGACAGTTGCAGGGACGTTTTGAATCGCTTGTCATCTTCAAATAAACATCTTACTCTCTGATTCCATGGCTCCTGCGTCTTTCCCTCACACATATGTAACACTACCTTTATCCTGTTGTGCAGTATCTTGGCACAACATTAATTCAGACATAATGTGTGATATCAAAAATCAGGAAATCAGATTAACGTGAGGATATTTCGTTTTGTGTCGATACTTTGGAATAATTTGGAGCTCTGGTTTATCACAAGCTTGGCTATTCATTGTAAAGCCCCAATGTGGCCAAGATTATGACCAATATATTTGCTTTATTTCTAAAGCCTTGTTTTACAAAGCCTTGTATGATTGTCCAAATGAAATCTATTCTGGTATTTTATGGAAAGTATTGAATCATTTTCTAATGGGAATTTATAACTTTTTAGTGATTTGAAGTTTAGCTGATTCAGGTTTTTTTTCAGTTATACTCCTGGCTTAACAAACATTTCTTTACTTAAGCAAGTTTGAAGACTTTTGTGAAAGGGAAGACTACATTTTTCAAAACTGTTTTGCAGTTCAGAATGTCAATACTTGGGAAACTGTAAAATTTTACAGTTTGCAATTTGTTTGTTTTCTTGTAAAATACCTCTTTTTCCTCCCTAACAGAGCTTATAGCTAATTATTTTCACAGTAGAAAAGGCTTTGTTATAAGCTGAGACAAAATAGGCGTTTCAAGTGGAATTTTCTCTAAAGAAAGAGATTTCTTGCTTTGTTTATGTGAAGCAGGAAGGGTTTATAGGCTCCTGCCACAGCTGGGAATCCAAGCAGGATTTGGATTTTGTTGGTGATATTTGATACAGTCACAGCTGCCCAAGGGAAAAGGACATATATTCAGGATGGATAAGGACTTCTCCCTTCTTCCTGCCTTAGGACTTCAGCAGGCTTCATTTCTCTTTTGCTGTTTATCTCCTGGTTAGGATGCTCAAATCTTCCTAAGAGCAAAGTTCCAGTGGAAAAGCAAACAGATAGCTGCATTCAATCATGCATGTTCATCTGGGTGGAAAAAGGCCTACTATGAAGAGGGGAAGGAAATGGAGAGTGATAGCAGCAGCACTAAGAAGCAGGAGTTTGTTCTGGGCCAGTTCCCAGTTGAATACTTGGCTAAGCTTGTGGCTTCCTTTGAGGTATCAAAGGGTATGTAGGCTGTTCCATAATACCCTCTAGATTATGCATGTGGACATCTCTAGGATTTCCTAACAATTAGAGAAAATAACCAGTTCCCTTCTAGCATCACAAACTACTATTCTATTTCTGATGTATATTCTTTAGTTCTAGATTTTTGTGTTACTTCTTTATAGCTGCATGCATTATCTCAGGCACTGTATTTTATAAATGAAATACACTTTGGGATTTGTACGTAATAATGAAGATATAATTTGCTGTTTTAAAAACAGAGTGCATGAAACCGAGGACAGGAATAAAAGAGTATATAAATATTTTGTGAAAAATATATTGCAAATACAATTAAAAAGATTGTATATGTATGGAAGGATATATGTGATTATGCTGATTCTGTTCTGATCAGGGTTTAGAAATTGTGACTTTTTTAGGGATAAGACGCAGGCAATTGTCTATTCCATTTTCCTCCTTTCGCTCTGATATGGACATTCCATTTAAAACAGAACATTTAAAAATAAACGTATTAAATTAATAAGCAAATTGTATAGACATAGCATGCATACATGTAGATTAAAAAGTTTGTATAAAATATCTACTGTATTTTTTAAAAAAATACTTTGAAAAATCTTTCCAAAGTATTGCTGTTTTAAAGTATCTATATGAAAACTTGTAATATTTTTTTGTAAGCAAAGAACAATAAACAATTATATTTGTGTCTAGATACAATTCTGGACAATATACACTTTTATATGTATAATTAATACTTATTAAATAACTCCTTAATTCTGGAAGGGTTTGCTGGAAATTGTACAACTTACAGAACTTAGTCTTATTTTACAAAACAGATATGTCTTGTACTCCGTAACATTTTATTCAGAAAAAAAATGTCCCATTGTATCTGTCTGTAGCACATAACACAGTAAGTGTATTATAGGGTAGTGCCATAACTCTTCAATATCCATGTTTATATGGTGGTCACTGTCTGTTCAAGATAGTGCCCTTTTTCTAAAAAACCCTATTCTTTATAAATGTGTTCCTGTTGTATAAAATACATTAATTCTGATCTAACAAAATGCATGTCTCCAGTCTTAAGAAAAAATAGGAAATGGCTCTTCCATTTAGCATTATATTTCCTTGTCTATCCATTACATGCAGCTGTTAACCTTCCAAATTAATGACTTCCCTTGTAAGATGAGCTCAATGACATCCTTGTATTTAGTATCACTGAACAACAGAAGATGCTAACTTTTCTCTTTAGCTTCCTTGTTACCCTGGCAAATGAACTTGTTTGAATGAGAAGCTCTAAGCATTCATAAAAGTACCAAGAGTAGTTTATAAGATTTTTTTTTAAAAGGCTCAGCAACATTCTGGGAGACTAAGATGATTTCAGTTTTCATTGCCATTGGAACAGATAGATACTTATTTTTCATGTAACAAAAATAGAGAACACAATTTATAAACTTATAGCTGTAAGTTTTGCAATGTATTTTTTTAAAAAGGGATCCAGGAAGATCTAAGAAGTTATTAAGTCAGCAAGCTTAACGTTTGTTATGTGCAAACTAATAATCAAAGAAAATGTAACTAAGCATGTAGACAAACACACCTTAAAATCAGCATGGACCCTGTCCAATCAACTTGTTTAAGAACATTTAGGTAGGCTAAGGTTAGCTTTAGTATGATTCAGTTGGGTTATTGATATGATCTTATGTTCATCAATACTGCTTATAATATAAACTGAAACTTAACAGTATGGCTTCCCCATGGAACCCTTAAATTAAATATTGAATTGATATGCTTTACATAATAAAAAAATTGCTTATAAATCAGAGAAATAATGGCTTTTTTCTGCTGGTTTGGAATGTTCCAGGGTAATTTTTTTCCAGTATACAATTAAAATAAACTGTTCTCATTGATAGGGCAGCTGTGGAAGTGTGTAAAGCCCTGGTAGACAGCTGTGAGATATTGGCTTACCTCTTCTGCTTTGTATGAAATTCTCTGTTCCTAAAACTTTTTCTTACTTTAGACGAGGAGAATATGAAGATATGCTAGTGATGCCCCATACCCTTTTTCTTGGGACGTATGAAAGTAAAGAAAGAATTAAAGGAAGATTTAGTTGTGAATGAGGAAATTCTATGACTCCTAATCAAGTTTAAGATCAAAAGGAGAAAATTAGAGAAAAAAAAGATAAAGCAGCCTGGTGAAAAGTTAAGAAAGACACTTCTTGAAATAAAAATATTTTATTCTTCCCATTAGAGTTGCACCATCAGCAAATCTATTGCAAAAATCATAGGAGTATTGGGGGGGGGGGGAAGAAACCTTTAGTAATATGATTGGTCATTTTGTATAATCATTCTATTCATTTTAGTAATGACTTGCCAGTGGAAGTTAAGTCTTCAACAGTCTATTGATAGTGGAATAACACAAAACATCTGGCTTATATGAGTATATATTTGATGAAATAACGAGTTTTTATGGATTTGTAGTCTTTTTCCCCCAAAACCAAACATGCTTATGAGAAATTTGTAAAGTAGTGTAACCTTAAAATTTAGTCTGCTTTGATTTGGGGTAAAAGAAATCTACATAACTATGGATAAATGTTTTGCCATATTTGAGACCGGAGCTAATTGGCTTAGAATTTGTGTTATCTGATCAGGATAATCTTCCTTCAGCTAAACTAGTTTTTTTCCCCAGCATGTTTGATCACTGAAACAGAATTTCCTGCTGCAAACCACTTATTGTTGAATGATCTGTCTTTCTCTGCTTATATATTGCCTTAAGGACTACTTGTCACTTTGTCTGTTATCTTTTTGTTATCGCGAATAATACCTGTTTTCTTCACACTGGAAAGTATGATTGTCCAACCTTTTGGCTTGCCTGAGCCACATTGAGTGAAGAGGAATTGTCTTGGGCTGCATATAAAATATATATATATATACATACATCTTTCATTATCTTGTTGGATTGCATTACTAGCTGTCCAAGGCCACATGCAGCCAATGGGCCACAGGTTGGACACATCTGCTATAAAGCCTTTGCCTTATTTTCCTTCTATCATTAGGAAATTAACATGATACCCTTTCTGTTTCATCATAACTAATGTATCATTGAACTTGAAAGCATTATAGGTAACACTTCATCTGGAACAAAACCCGAGAAATAATATGATAGATCCGGGAGTATAATTACAAATCTAACTGTGACTTTATTTCTGCTAATTAAGAATAGATAGAAAATGGAAATTAGATAAAGTTTATTCTGGGAACATATATGTTCTCAAATCTGAGTATGGCTTTATTAAAGGTACAAGTCATTGTACAGTAAAATTTTATCTCCATTAATGTAAAGATAAGTTTGAAGAATATGGAAATAATAAAATCCCCATCATAAGGTTCTTCACTTATGTTGTGATTATGACTTCCACAATTTCTGTTCACCATGCTGAGAGTTGTGACCCCCTATACATCTATAGGGAGCTAGGTTGCTGAAGATAGCCTTACATCACACAATATATAGTATGATTTATGGGAACTCTATTTTTGTAACATTGTAACATAGAATTACCATACGTTCCAAACTATGAGACAGTTTCTCTTTGGTTACCATAAAGGTCCGTATCTTCTGACTATACCTAATATTTTTTTATATATTAATATAATTTTTTCATATATGATGTTAAATGTCAGAATATATATTTACAAGTATAACAGGTTGACTAAATCACCTTTTGGATATTCTCAGGTTGTTAAAATTATATTCAGCATATCACACTAATATGCAAAATAGCTGCATCTTACCAGCATGCAAAGCATTCTTTGGAAGCATTTAGCTCATTTCTTCAGTTTCACCTCTTTGCCCTTTAGAATCACTAACTACTGCTTGGGTTTGAAGGTAATTCTGTTGTTTATTTTTCTGGCTCAAACTCCAGGAAAAAATAAAGCTTGATGCTGAGAGGGAAAAACTAGAAAAGCTTCAGGAGCTTTACTCCGAGCAGAAGACTCAGCTTGATAATTGCCCCGAGTCCATGAGGGAACAATTACAGCAGCAGCTTAACAGGGTCAGTAGCATGGATGTGGTGTTTCTTTAGTGAATGTAATCAGATCAAGTCCAAAGATTTCTAACCAACTCTTTTTCATGGCTTCAGTGCTGATTTTCTATATTGCTGTTAAGAACGTAAGTGCATGGTGACAACTAAACAGAATGTCAAAAGCTGGATTAATAATGGATGCGCACTACATGCTTCAAAAGTTATCAGTCATCTAAGGCTTATCACTCTGTGGCATTGAACACTAAAGATGTGTATGACTGAGTGTGAGTGGAATTTTGATGTTTAATCAGATTAGGAATCTATAAAATCTGTCTAAATGAGGAAAGAATTCTCAATTAGGCATGAAGGATTACTCTCATTGCAGCATTATAAATCTTAACTATACATATTTATTTTGAAAATGAAGACATGTATAAATTAAATTCTTCCCCCAAATTATTCTTTTCTATTAGATTGTATTTTCATCGTTCCGTATAATATGATGACTGCTTTGTTTTAATTTTACAACTGTTGTGAATATAAATTTATAACAATAAAAAAGAAACAGGAAATAGTCGGAGATTTGGGGATATGGAAATGTCATCCACACTAGAACCATTAAACTTCCAGATCAGATTATTCTGAGAGAAAATTCATTTTTTGTTATTTCATAAAAAAGAAAAAATTAAAATGAAATTTGGTTTTTTTTTAAAAAAAAAAGAAATCTGAGGGATGTACCTGGTCAAAACAGCTTAGAACTGTTTACTCATGACCCAAGCCACAATCATGCCCATTCTAAGCTGCAACAATTCTTCACATTGACACCCCCTTTAATTTAATTTTAAGGTTTGTTTTATTTTTTTGAAGTGCATATTTAGCACTCACCTCTGTTCATGATGACTAGGCTTAAATAAAACAATGGATCTGTTGTCATTGATTAATTTGAGGAGGTACATGATAATTTTAATTTCAAGTCAACAGGCATTTTAAAAAACATGCTTAAATAGACTTAGACTGCAGTTAAAGTCTTTAGGATTAAATTTTTGTTTTGGATTATGCTTTATGTCATTCTATTCCTTTCACAAGGAATATAATGCCTTTAAAACTGATACATTTATTTTTTTCATATTGAAGGATGCAGACTTGTTGGAGGTAGAAAGCAAACATTTTGAAGATTTGGAATTTCAGCAGCTTGAAAATGAAAGCAGATTAGATGAAGAAAAGGAGAATTTAACACAACAGCTTCTGCGTGAAGTTGCTGAATATCAGCGTAGCATTGTCAGTAGAAAGGTAATATTTTTTTAAAAAAATGATTAGATTGTTATCTTTGAATAGTTTAGTTCAGTGCCAATTGATTGCAGTTGTTAATCTAGCCAACAATGATCAATTTACTAACAATTCTGTTAATTGTTAATTTCCAGATTTGCTCACTAAGGTTTAGTAATTACTTTAGTTTTCCTAAGTTAAGTATTATATTTCCTTTTCTTTGTTTCTTAACAAGAAAGGTTTTCTTAATTTTTAAGAGAGATGATACCTTTCCAAGAAATGTATTTGTGTTTTTTCCATAACTTTCATATAGTTATATCCTTCCATAAGTCTTCTTTTTCTGCTTACTTTTCTATTTTGGAGTAGAAGTAGTATTGATAGTGCCAGCTATTAGTGCTGCTGGAATATGCAAGCATGTGAAGTCCAATCACAGGACTTCTATCAATTCAAAGAAAAAAATAACAACTTGTGAAATGTTGCTGGTGTACAACTTCTTCTGTAGTCTTCTCTGTAAATTTGACTTTCAAACAGGTAGGAACAATATTCTAAAGCTCATATTAAATATGTATTAACATTATCTTTATGATAGGAAAAGGTTTCTGCTCTCAAAAAGCAAGCCAGTCACATTGTACAACAAGCACAAAGAGAACAAGATCATTTTGTGAAAGAAAAAAACAATTTACTAATGATGTTGCAGAGGGTAAGGAATTCTTCCTTGTTCTTTCAAGAACTTAATTAAATGTTAAATTACAAGTACAGATTGTACAACTTCCTCTTTTTAAAAAAATATATGTAAACACGTGTTGTTATAATACCATGTATCATAGAGAGGTCTGTAATATATAAAGTCCAATGAAGAAGTGAACAATGTAAATAGTGAAGCCAACCGGAGCTGTTTTTTCCATAACAGTATATCAATCTTTACATTAACATGCAGTAGATTTGTTAGTTTTTCCCCAGCAGGTTTATCAGAAAAAGTACAAGTGTATTTGTCTATATCATCAAGTGTTTGCTGTGGGAAATTTTGGTATTAAAACCAATCCAGCAAACAAATTGGGAAGGATATCTGTATTGTCTATACCCATGATGGCGAACCCACGTGCACCATCGCCAGCTGCTCTTCTGGTTTCTGGCATACATGTGTATGCCAGCTAGCTGGTCTTCATGGACATTAGAGCACCGTAAAATGGCCTCAAAATGCCCAGAAAACAGGCTGTTTTGGTGGGTGTTTTCAGGCCGTTTCCAGCTGTTTTCAGGCCATTTCCAGGCTGTTTTCTGGGTCCTTTTCGGCTTAAAATAGCCAAAAAATGGCTGAAAAATAGCTCCCAAAACAGGAATGTACACACTGGTCAGCTGCTCTTCAGGTTTCTGGTGTTCCGGCACACGCACATGGACACATATTCCGGTTTGGGCACTTGGTACTGAAAAAGTTCGCCATCACTGGTCTATACAATAAGGTAGAAACAAAAAAAAATTAAATATGCATTTATGAACAATTTTCAGTTGAAACATCTTAAACGTTTTTACAAATTTAGTTACTTATGAAAGAAAAATGCAGCTTGAACATTTGTATAACATCTGTCTCAAATATAACTCATTTTCTACAGGAGAAAGAAAATCTTTGCAATCTAGAAAAGAAGTATTCCTCTCTATCCGGAGGCAAAGGATTTCCTCTGAGTCCCAGCAGTCTAAAAGAGGTAGTGTGAGATTTGACAGAAAGGGTTTGGAACAAAATGGCAACTGCCTTATTTTTCCTATCTTTGCAACTATTTCATAAAGTTCAATGAAAAATGACTTGTACTTCCCTACTTCATAAAAGGGCTCATTAATTTTAATTGCTAATATGTTGAAAGTGGTCAGTTATTCTAAGGAGGATTTTCTAATAAAATGTGACATAGACATGTGCACTAAAAGGAAATATGTATTGTTTTGAACCACAAACAAACCATTACATTCCAGATGTTCTGCCTAAGTTCTAGGGTTTGAATGAAACACAATTAAGAGGAATCACAGATTATTTTAACAGCGCATAGTATAAGACTGTAAGTGTGCTGAAATAATTGGCCTTCCAAATGGTCTTCAGTTTCTTAGATTTCATATCCTTTTTCATCTTACTCCATTTGCATGCATACTTCAGTGATAATTCATTTTTTGATTATGCAGATATTTATTTCAGTGTTAATAGAGTTATACAAAATGTGACATATTAGAAAGGAACCTTTCTAGAAAGGAAAATCAGATTCTTTGATTGCACCCTTTCAGTTCTTGCTTGTGCCTAAAACGTTTCTGCTACTATTGCTGCTGGTCTAACAACTTATTATATAATCCTTGTAGTTCAAAAGAAAGTATTAAGAGTATTCTGTAAAACATTTGATTTCAAACATCTCTAAATTATTAATGGTTCATGAATTTATTTTGATGGAATTGAAAAAGTAAGTTTCTGTCATATTTTTGTTTCATCTAATTACAATATTGATTAGGGAGATTCATATTTTAAAAAACTTTTAAGTGTTTGCTTATTTTAAAAAAGAGCTTAATTCCCATTCTTTATTGGGATCATGCTTGAAAATTCGAAGAGTCAAACATTCAGAGTGCTACATAGTAAAACAAGTTTCTCTAGAATTTGGTAGTGTTTTAAGCAGTTACTATATTAACATGAGATAATGAAAATTGTAGTAAATTTAAAGCATGGAGGGTTCAGCATAGGTGATTGAAAAAGTATGTCAAGAAAATAGTTTTCTAATATCACAGTATTGGCTGTATCACTCTAAACTAACTTTCACAGAGAATTTCAAAATTTAATATTCTTGCATGCCTTTTGACTTTTGCTTTTGTATGTTTAACCTCTGAATTCCTCCTTTTAGGATTTTGTGAATGTAAATGACATTAGTGACCCGCATGGCAATTCAATGAATATCTCCCCTTCTACTCAGCCCCCCTCTGCTGCTGATGCTGCTCCCACTGAATCTTCCACATCTGGCCTGATAAGCCAGTCACAAAATAAAGAGGTTTGTTGGAGAGACATTTCCCATGTGTAAACATTATGCTTTCACATTTTGTTCCCTTGGTGTTCACAGGTTGTAGTAAATCTTTTTATTAATTAAAAAGTTGGCCAGGGAGCTGAGTTAATTTTCCCCCTATGGGTTTCTTTCACGAACAGATGTTGTATGTATGTCTATTTGTCTTGGGTATATCGTGTCTTCCTTTTTACGTTCTTTTCCAGAGTGCTGATAAAGTAACAGGGATTTTATTATACTCTCATTGAACCCCTTATGTTTACACCATTCCCATTTTGATTTCCAGGAAAAACAGCAAAGCAAGGTCTATTTTCCCCTAGTAGGATATCACAAACCTAATATCAAAATATTAGGTGCAGTGAGAGAAAAATACCATTTGTTTACTTGCTCTTTTCTGTAAACTGTTAATAACACTTCATGCATTTGAATAAGTGAGCTCTGGCTTTTAAAAAGCTTTCCCCATACTTCTTTGTAGTATTTGCATCTTGTATGTATTTTTAAAACTCTCATACCATTTCTTTTTTTTTCTATAAAGCTAAGATCACCTTTCTGTTATGGATCTGTGATTCCTCACTCTCTCTCTCCTCGCCCTCTTGCACCACTCTCACCAGCCGACTGGCCTGAGGTCAGGGCTGCCAATGTAGAGTCTTTTCCTTTACCTGATACACCACCTCCTCTACCAGCTAAGAAAAACCGAAGGGAACCCCAGGTAACATGCCAGAAGGCAGGCTGACTTGGTAATGATATGGTTATTGTTGCATGCCCCAGTTTGAAAAGTGCATGGAAAATAGCCATCAATCAGCTCTTCAAAACCCTAAAGGTCTGAATATATGGTCGAATGAACTTTCCCTTAAAACTGACTGATGGAATTCTAGCATTTATAAAGGATTTTGCACATAGAATTCACTAGTAGATAATGCACATGCATCTTGTTAAGAACCACCCACTTAAACATCTTCTTACACATGCACAATTTCTTTATTAAGACCAGTGTCTTTACTCTTTAATAGTTTTATTTCACATTGACATATTAAGACCAATGTCTTTACTTAACAGTTTTATGTCACACTGACGTATACAATGCTGATTACTAATATTACAATCCTTTTTCTGTAAAAGTAGGAGTTAAAGTCATGAGTTGAACATAACTGTTAAAATTTATCTTCTTTAACATTTTGAATGGCTATTGTCTCATTCTGATATCAGCATAGTAAATAATCATATCTGGTGTGAAATCTTAAGAATGCTTCAAAAATAACCTTGAAGGCACATTCACAGTTTACAAACAAAGCACTCTGAAATCTGTTGCAAATCTGAAATATTTCAGTGAAGAATAAACTCATGGGACCTCCTGTATCTGTAGCCACAAGTTGTCTTCTTTGAGTAGATCCTGACTTCCGTAAAAGTTACATTTGTATTACATGGTAAACTTTGCTGGTCACCCTGTGTGTTACTGAGGAAGAAACATTCTTTAGCTTCTTCTGGATAGAACAGCTTAGAACCCTTATTTTTTACAGTATGGCAAGACAAGTTAAACAACTCCACAATAACTAATTAGTTTTACCTTTATATGGAAAGAATCGGGTATTACAAATTGGTACATTGACTGGGTAAGTTGTAAAATAGGTTAGCAGGACTTAGATTAATCCCATAAGAGATTATTATTTAGCATGCAGTTGGCAATAATAAATTTCATTAACATTAACAACTAACCTTGTGAAATATTCAACCCTGTGAAATATTCCTTTCTTATTAGTAAGTGACCACTTTTATTATACTTTGCATTTAAAACAAATGAGAGCAAATAAAATCACCAATAAAAGACGAGTGTAACCTTTTTGTCTTTTTGTTCAAATGTTGTATATCAAAATGTATTATATGTGCCACTGTTCAAGTTCAAAAACATTTTTGGTATTTAAAATCACAGTGAAAATATACTATTTTCTTTGCTTATATTTAGCTATTAAATAGAACAGAGGATTTATGACAAGTATAATCACAAAACACTTAACTGTATCCCTTTGATATAAGGATGTATTGCTGCAGTATGTTTAAATAAAAATTATTTTTCTTGTGGAAATCATTCATGTAACCGTAAACAATTTAAAGAGCTACCTAATCAGTATTCTAATGTTTGTGAATCTGGAGATGTTTTGATTTTTTACTTGAGTTCAATCTTTGGCAATTTTCAATTCAGTTTTAAAATTAAATCATGGTTTACACACTAGAATTTTACACACTATTATTTATTTTAAGCATTTCCGAAATTTGGAAGAGAGAAAGAAACAGCACAAAGAAGGCCTGTACATGAGTGATACTTTGCCTCGCAAGAAAACGGCTCCTCCCATATCACCTCATTTCAGTAGTTCTACTCTTGGACGAAGCGTTAAAGTAAGCAACTGTACAGCTCAAAGAATTTCTTTGAATTTTGAGTTAACGGAGTTCTATTGTTTTCACTAGAATCTTAGTTTGAACGATGGCTTTTTCTTCACACCTTTCCCCATTATTTCATTTCACATTGCTGATTTACAACATAAATCCTTGTAAATTTAATCAGAGTAATTTTGTCTCTACATTGTTATCAATATTTACACAATACGGTAATACAACATTTTATTACTTTAATGTGCAAATAAAAGTTTTTAGTAGCAGACGTGAGACATAATTTTCCTATAATTTCCCAGAAATTAGTGAGAGAAATCAGTTGATCAGGCAGCCAAGCTGTTTCATGGCTGGATTAAATTTGACTTTAGAGCTCCTTGTTAAAGGACCAGTCAGATAATCACTATGTATTGCATACTTAAATTCAAAATACTTTATATTCACATAGTCCCTGCAGGGTCTGATTTTATTTTAGACTCCATCTTCCGTAAATAAGGTGAATTAATTTTAAAAGAAACACCCTGAGTGTATGCTGAGCATAAACTAGAGTTAATGCCATCAAATACTTCCCTTGTATTTATCTTGGATTCAAACCCCCAGGATATACAAAGGTTATGTTTTAAACTGCATTGCCTCAAGCTACTTTAAATTAAAACAATTTTTCAGTTATACATAAAGTTCATTTGAAAAATTTATATATAAAAAGTAGTAGCTTTTAAAGGCCTTTTTTCTTTTCCTTTCTTTTTTGGCAGGGTCACCTGCCACTGGGACAAAGCAGTAGTTGTGGCAACATACTTCCTCATTGTTCAGGATCTATGACCAAAGATTTGGAGACAAGAAGAACACATAAAGGTAAAGGTACTTAGAATTATTCCATATATTTACACGCAATAATATACTAAAGTAAATCCTATTCACATTAACATTCACATTAAGTTCATATTTCTTTTAATTGAATAAACATACAATTAATTAATTCAACTTCATTACGCTTTGGCTGTTGTAAATGAACTCTTAAATTTTCTCATGCAAAATTTGAAGTATTCTTATTCGTGTACGTCACTGTTGCACATTGTCTATGTTGAATTGGTGAAATTTTGACTCAACTCAGAATGCATTCATTTTCAGATTGATCATAAACAGAATAGTTTTTTTCTTGAAAGTGAAGTCCTAAAGCTGTTTTTGATGCTTTGTTTATTATTTGAATAGTGCCTGGAAATTACTGCCATGCTAAATCTCATTTGCATTGTTGAAAATCAAGGGTACATACCTACCTTTGCATCTTATTTGCGGTGTGTGTATGTGTGTCTCTGTGTATGTGTTTGCACGCACACATACGTATTATATACCTATGTAGAGTAAAATATACTAGGAATATATTTACAGATGCTCACATTCAGTCTTTCTGCCCTTGGAACCTTTAGATATCAGATGAAAAGCTAGAAGGTTTCCTTCCCAAGACATGCCTAATTTTATTTGGCCTGCTGAGTGCGCATTTGATATCTAGCTAAATCTGTGACTACCCTGCTGGATTAGAAATCATATATAGAAAGGGATATAAACTGTCAAACTATGTCTAATATTTAAGACAAAGTACAAAATCTCTAATTAATTGACAGTATTACAATATAAACCTTATGCTTATTAATGTTCAGAACAGCAACAGAAAATATATAGACAAACAAAAATATACTTTCAGCTGCCTTCTCTGATTATAAAATTAGATAGTACAGTCCTAATATTACTTAATTAAAAGTAATAGCCACTAAATTTAAAAAAGATTTCTGTGTCTACCTTACCAATTTAAAATACAGGTAGTCCTTAACTTACAACAGTTCATTTGGTGACTGTTCGAAGTTCTGACAGTACTGACTGTTTTTCACATGATGGTTGCAGCATCCCCATGGTCACATGATCAAAATTCAGCTGCTTGACAACTGGTTCATATGTATGATGGTTGCAGGGTCCCAGGATCATGGGATCATCTTTTGTGACTTTCTGACGAGCAAAATCAATGAGGAAGCCAGATTTATTTAACAGCTGTGTTACTAACTTAACAACTGCAGTGATTAACTCAACAAGTGTGGCAAGAAAGGTTTTAAAATGGAACAAAATTCTGTCTCACTTAGCAACAGAAATTTTGGACTCACTACTTGTAGTTTATTTTTTTATTTTTTTATTTATTATGTGTACTTCCTAGAAATGGTCAACCTTTTTTCCCCGTTCATTTTTTTACAATTACATTTCTTTCTATTTGTGCATCTCAGTAAGAATATTTGGTTTTAAAGATTTAGTATTTTAAAATAATTATATATTTTTTTCCTTTCCACTGCTTATGTCATTAAAATCAGGTAAAAGCAAAAAAGGTATGAAAAACATTTTTTGGTGATGTTATATGCTTGATTTTACATTACTAATGGCAGAGGGGACACCGTCAAGTTGTTCAGAATCAATGTGTGTGGAAATTTTGAATTTCCTATTCCACTCAAAAATTTAAGAAAGGTATTAGGATTTAAATAATCTCATGTTTAAATCATACATACCCTCATATAATTAAAAATGGCATCCAACGGAAAATAAAACTATGCCCATTGGTTTTTGTCCCCAAATCCATGGAGACAGAGAGGGATACTGCAATAGCAATAGCAATAGCAGTAGACTTATATACCGCTTCATAGGCCTTTCAGGCCTCTCTAAGCGGTTTACAGAGAGTCATCATATTGCCCCCAACAATCTGGTCCTCATTTTACCCACCTCGGAAGGATGGAAGGCTGAGTCAACCCTGAGCCGGTGAGATTTGAACCGCTGACCTGCTGATCTAGCAGTAGCCTGCAGTGCTGCATTTAACCACTGCGCCACCTTGGCTCTTGGCAGTGGGCAAGCTTGTTGAGATTGATACCACCAGGATTCAAATGACAGTATTTATTCAGTAAATTCATTATTGAAGATAATGAATCCAATATTGAAGCTAGATCAGTTGAAATATCCTGCTCTTTTCTGCCCATATTTATTAATCACATGGGCATAATGTAAAGACAGCATACAAACAAATTCTTCAGGTTTATGCCAATCTAGCTTGGATTTGCAAATAGAATAAGCCCAGATCATACATTGCAGCTAGGTCTTGCAAAATATGTTGCTTACTTTTGAAGAGAAGATATAAATAAATAATATGCACACAATTGGAAATATAGTCTGGCACAGAATAAAAGTAGCATTGTTATAAATTTGTAGTGAGCTGTTTGTCCATATATGTGCATGTATATATTAATTATTTAAAAATTTGGTTCTCTTCCAATTCTTTTTCTGAAAATCACTGTTGTTTGCAGAAAACAAATTAATGTTTGTATTATAAAATAAATTAATAAAAGGAAGAAAGTTCTCTTGTGAGTTCTGTTAAAAGCCCTGTGGAAAGAAAAATGACTTTAAAATATCTTCTTCATTTAATTGACTCATCTTTTTTCCATGTTTTCTTAAAAGTATAAACATTCTTGAGCTGATAACAGGAAACTATTACTTTACTAAGGCAACCACACATTTAGAAAAACTAGCTGAGGTGGCAACTACTGATTTTGTGGATTGGCAAAACTATTTAAAATTATTTCTATTAGCATATTAAAAGTATCTCTGATCCACCATAAACAAAAATGAACTCTTGACTGCGTTCTTGGCGTGGTTTGCACTTTTTTGTGTGATTTCAACTCCATTCTGTTGTGATACTAATAACAACAATATAATGAGTTTCTATTTTAATTTCAATATGTTTCTGACAACTGTTTTTCTGCTTATTATTATTTATTCTACTGTCAATTCAGCTTGCTTGAGTTTTTTTTCTTTTTGCAACAATTTTGTGCAGTGCCTTGAATTAATGATATGTTGAATTGAGATATTAATTTGAGTTTTTCATTGTCACCTTTTCTTTTAGCAAATCTACTCATATTTTTGCCAGGGCATAATAAATGGATATTTATCTTACCTAGAATCACAGAGTAAATAAAAATTAAAAGTGTGGACTTCATCCGATTTATCAGTTTCTAAAATAATTTTGCCTACCATAATATATTCTCCTGGCAAATTTAATGGTTTCCTGAATCAGTATTAAATGTCACTACTCTCTAAAATATATAATGTAAAGAATTGTTGTCCAAATATACAGTGTAATACTATTTCCACAGAACATTTTAAAAACGTAATTTCAAGGGACACAAGCCTATTCAACCTTTATTGCCCAATATTTAAATGAAACTCCCTTATCAGAAGCAAAATTATTTTGAATATTGGATGGTACATGTCCAAAAGAACAGTGATTTACATTGCAACCTTGCAAAAACAATAATCCTACGGTAGATCCTTTCTTTAAATGAGCTGTTAGCGTGTCTCTCCCCTCCACCCCCATGGTGCTATAGTTTTGGATTAATAAAAGTTACAAAACTGCAGATTATTTTTCTCTCTGCTTCCTTGACTTAACCCAGTTTTAAAGTTGTTCACCACCACATGCTATGTAACATAAAATAAATGTGGGAGCATGTATATGTGTGGATGGATGGATGGATGGATGGATGGATGGATGGATGGATGGATGGATG